GATTTTTCGAAGTTCTACACTCTACAGTTAAATATAATCAGTCATCAGTGAAAAAAAACAACTGTTTGGCTGAGGTAAACCAAATGATCAAGGTAAGTTATCTCCCCTTAACTAACCACATTCCAACTGTTACATCAAGGCAACCTTCAAATATTTAGTCAAACAAAGGCATCAACTAATTACACAGCTGTTAATCTTTCTCTATAAATTGTAGGCAAGAATTTAACCACTGGAGTTCTACATATATCCACAAATCCAAGTGACAAGATGAGTAGAACAACATAAATATCCACTGTTAACCACTTACTTTATTTTCCTGTGAAGCTATTAGTACATCGATGATGATCTCAAGCATGATAATGAAGCGTCTACTGCATAAAACAATTTCTTTTGAACATCAAACAAAGTTGACTGCTAAGTAAAGTTGCTGAGCGTTATCACTGTTTTTACAAACAGTACGTGGTCAAGATCAGTATGACCGTTTATGTTATATGTATTAAAAACTGACTCAACGATTTTAGTAACTACTCTATTAACTAAGGAATATCCGAAATTGCTGAATATCTCTCTGAAAACGTTGTGCTATTTTTATCTCTTAATGTTTACAATTATGAATTTCTTAATGAATATAGAGGAATATGATCTATTTTGTAGTTATTAGGTAGTTTGAATACATTTTCTAGGAAAAAGTTAAAATGACAGCCATTCTCTTCATGGTTTGCATTCCTTTTTGAAATTGCTGCATTCGCTTAAAATGTACTGAAGTTATAATAAATTACCACTAGCTGTTTACTTTCTGATTGAAGCTCGCATATTAGTTATGCATTCAATCAAATGACAAAAAAGGCTTAAATAAAAATAAGGTCATAAATTGTAGCTTAGGGTAGAAAATAACAAAATTGGCCATTATTCAAGTCATGAGTAAACGAGGATTATCTAAGCATCCTAAAATCTAAAAATCATTAATAATGTTTTAGGATATTAAAAATGAAGCCTGTGGGCTGTTGAAATTCACTTCGCTTGATAAAACTAAAGCAAAAATGAATTGTAGATAGTATGATGAAAAGAAGTAACATTTCCCTACGATTATCTGTAACGCTTTTAAATTTGACTAGCAGTGTTGAACAACAGTGAATCCTAAACGAATTACATAACTTGAATGCAGAATAAAGCTGTCGCATATAAATAGAAGTAGATCAGATGAAACCCAATGTAAAACATTTGTTCGCTAAATCAAGAGAATAAATCAAAGGAATAAATAAAATACAATGAATATCTAGTTATACTTGAATGAGGACAGTAGCGAAATTATCACCTAACTAAGTGAATAGCAATTCGACCCTGCATAGCAACGGAAATTACAGGTATCAAAACAATAACGTATACTTATTGTAAAAGAGGTGACTATCGTGGCCGAGTGACCCAGCGAATAACACCTTGGCGTTTGAAGCTATGGGCATGGGGTTCAAGTCTCAGTTGGTATAGGTACACCTAGCTGACAATTCCTAAATAGGGCAAAAAGAGCATTCTATATTTCATTTTAAGCCATCAAAATGAATATAAAATCGAAATTACCACTGGGCACAATTATTATTTCATTTGTGTAATTAATTATTTTAGTAGGTACCTCTTTATGAGGCATGTTCATATAACTGTAGTGCTTTGTTGTATACGTTCAAGAAATAAGCTGCAATCTATTATCCACTTATCAGTGTCACCAGTGTAGAAAGTAAATTCTGAAAGTAAGTTTGGATTTAAAAAAATCTTGAAATGTAATTTTAATCATATGTTACCAGATCTTATTCCGATTTCCATGATATCCATAATGACTACACATTATGTCCAATACTTCCCAACAACACTCACTGTCGACTGTAGAAGTATAGATGACTCATATTTCACAGTACACGTTAAATATGTCTTGTTTTTTTTTTTGTTTTCCATTTGCCTAGAGTGAAATACATCGTTTATAGATCTGAAACTTACAGTAAAGTTTATGTTAATATTGACTCAAAAGTGTCCAAAAATTCAAATTATATCAGATATGAATCCTAGAAAACACCTTGTTACATTGACTTGAATACTTAAAATATATTTTTTTAAATGCACTGAGAAAAATACAATTATCCGATGATATTTGCTGTTATTTTCCATGATCTATTCAATATCAGGCGTTATAGTGAGTAGCAAAAGGAATGAACTCAACACTGTCAGCTTTAATTTTGTCTAAAGTTAGTCTGATATTTCGAATCACCTGACTTAAAGGTTACATATTAGATTTGGTACGAAAAAACTGAGCTTTGACAATAGGGTGTTGTTAGTACGATTATTTTTCAATGCTCATTTATGTACGTTATCCAGCTACTATGTTGTGTGGAATTAAGTGATAATTATCTTCACTATTATTATTATTATTATTGTTGCTGATGGTTTGATTTTAGACCAAGGAGGAATTTACAATTAATAATGGAATGACTTTCTTCAGCAGTTACAGTCTATATTTTTACCCACGGATTAGGTTCAGAGGTGAAGTCATACTGCTGGATGGACAGAAGCTCAACTGTAGCAAGCTTTTTTCCTCGTATGACCAAATGTCCCATGTTGCTTCTGCCTCCCATGTAAGAAGAGCGAAGTTAGAATAGGTTGTACCCAAAAATGAAACACTCTTTACTATCCCATGGCATCTTGGGTTCATATTCATATTTAAAATCAGTGAACTAATAACTGGGACTTGCTAAAAGACCATGTGCCACCGGTCTCAAGCAGATGGTTCTTGGGTTCTGCGGTAAGGCACTAATTTTCCTTTTATAGGTAACTATAGAAAACATGCCCTGTATGGTGTGGACAGCTAAGAACTGTCATCTGCTCTCACAATTCTGTCCCCAATCAAGTTCCCTCAAATTGCCGTCCACCATCCAAATCCTTGACATATAATCTTCCTTCACGTCTCTTGTTCAATAATCACACACCATCTGTGATTCCCCTCAGCTCTGTAGATCTTTGAAACGACCTCCTTTCTCAGGACAGCGTCTATGGTCACATAAAAACCATTTTCTAAAATATGTATTGACTTGTTTAAGTTCACATGCTCTATCAAATCGACCAACGAGCCTTACTGGTTCAAATTCTAGGAATTTGGACTACGGGATCGCGCTTTGTTCCCCAGACATACTTGCAGCAACCGAGTGTGGTTATTCACTTAATCTCTCAATATGGTTAATTTCCGAAATTCGCCCTTCCAGTTTCTTTAAATTCGAAGACCACTTCTTTACGTCTTGCTAGTGTACGTATAGCACTGAACACAGTTGCTTATGAACTGTTCGACTGAACAGTGCAGTGAGGACTAGAAATACTAGTGAATGTCACTGTTGTCACCTTGTAACCTTTAATTGCGCAATCCCTCACTGAAGTTTGGACGAGGTGAATAATGAGTTTTAGCAAAAGGTATTTAGCCCCTTATTGGTGGCAAAGTGTTCGGACATGGTGGTTGCTGTTAGCGATTTCACTGCACAGATAGGTGACCTTGGTCAGATAGGAAGGCACCTAGATGGCATTATTTGGACCTCAGTCAAAAGAACAGATAACGACAATCGCTTCCTGCAATCCTGCTGAGGTAAACATTTATCTCTGAGCAACCCAAAATTCATGCACAAAGTAAGATAGAGCTTGGTATTGCTTCAACTCAGCATTGGACACAGAAATACTAAACTGCTATTAGCCGTCACTTTGAATGGTTAGTGAAAGAGTATTACTCCTTATTAGGTACATGTTTGGATAGTGACCATGAATTGGTTCAAGAGCGTTAATATTTACATGTAAATGGACGCAGCAAAACTGCATCAACAAGACCAATGCGAGTCGAGCTCGACAATGAGGCCAATGAAACCACTTCAAGGGAGAAACTGACTCGACAGTTGTCAGAGCTGACGCCTTTGACTGTTGACCTAAGCCATGCAGGGAAATAGAGACTTCCAGGTTGGTGTTCACTTGATAACAAAAATCAGTGGTTGGAGACTGTAGGCGAAATGGTTCAGAATCCTCATCATTGGCATAGACATATCCACACATTTCTTTCATCATAGTATTAATCTTATTTGTATATAGAGCCTACTTTTATGCTTCGGTGATACTGTGAATAACTAAAAAGAGTAACTGTATTTTCAGGAAAACTCGACGTTTTCGATGGAAACTGAGCAAAACGTAATGGGATATTTTGACTCGATAAAATATTAATGCACAAAATGTAGTTTGAACTTACTGAGTAGTATCTCACCGAAACTAACCAAAATCTGATCTCTATTTTAATCCTCTTGGCAGATTTACACATTATAAAATTTCAGCTGTATTTTAAATGAAGCTAATGGTGGCAAGCATGAGAAAAACTTTTCAAGTGATGATTTACAATAAAAAGAACTTGCTTAGTCAGACATTTTTATGTTTGAATTGTTTCAGAACTTTTGTCTGTTTGTATTAATTCAGCATCCTCACAAACGGTAAAAACCCTTTGAGATTTCTCAGAACAACACTCGATACATACAAGAGTGTTTTTAATATCACAAGTTTCATTTTCAAGTCACCAGTCACTCTGATGAACCCAGATTAACACTGAATTTGATTTCACAAAAATTCAGTTTCTTTTGCTACTTCGAATTCTACTGAAAAAGAATGTCAAAAAGGAGTTGCTAGTGTTGCCAACCTTCTTGCCCCAAATTGGTGAACCAGTCTTCATTTATCTTTTCCTGTCCTGAATATTTAAGGGCATTCAGTTGATTGAGAAAACTTTGAAGAATAAAAAGTCATTTACAAAATATAAACATTGTTTTAATTCAATGATAAATTGCTTAATTTTCTTGTAAAACAGTGAATAAACACATTTCATATTCAAAGTGAAATTATTTGTTGAAAACTCTCTCCAGTTTTATTGGTCAAGTGAACCTCTTCGTTTCTATTGGTTGACTACTTGGGATACGTTATCCGATTAGAAATATAGCTTCCCATCCATTCATTCATTCATTCATCATAAGTTTAACAATTGTTTACATAGAAATGCTTATCAAGTGAAATGACTTCATAATGATAATGTTTTTCCCTTTATTTCTAGGAAAGAAATATTTTTTTAAATTAAATATAACAGAATAAGCATAATGATCTTACTAATCAATAGCAATAATACAGAGTTCCACCCAAAAGTTCATCATTCATTGACTACATTATATAGCATTGCACCGATAATAATTTTAATCATTGGAATACCTGGCAATTTATTGTCCATGGTAATATGGTTAAGACGTATATCAATGACAGTGGGATCAACAAGCCTATTAATCGGTATTATGTGTATGACAGATACATATGTAATAGCTCATGGTTGTTTAAGACAATGGATAATTGGCATAACAGATGAAAAAGTGGATATTCGTATTAAGTTGAACTGTGGTATACCATTATTTTTATTCACATTTTCCACAGATTTATCTACATGGATAATTATTTTATTATGTATTGAAAGAGCGATTTGTGTATGGACACCAATTAAATTTAAACAATGGTGTAAATTAGACAATGGTATTACAGCACTTATTCTAGTTGTCATCAGTCTAATAGGTGTTAACATTCACTATGTATGGACTGTACATGTAAATGATAATTCATGTGCACCGAAACAAGAATATAAAGCATTTCATTTATATTGGCCATATATTGATTTTGCCATTTATTCCTTTATTCCATTAACTTTTATATTACTAGTAAATATTAGTATAGTATGGAGAATGAAAACTACCAGCGTAGCGGTGAAAAATGCCCAGAATACAACATCAACAATGATGCCAACAGCGACAACTACAACAACATCAAATAGTTTGACACATTCAATAATAAAATCTACAGTACAAAAAGAGAAATCTTCAACAAGTCGTGGACAAAGGTCTTCACGTGTACTAAGAACAGTTGTCTGTATGACTATCAGTCATTTTGTTTTAACAATGCCTATAGTATTCTTTTATTTATTTGAATCAAGATTCTGTATTGAAAATAGTCAATGGTTAAATGTCTGTGATATAATTGAACGAATGACAGTTATACTACAAATGATAAATCACATGACACATTTTTTCATCTATTCTTGTACATCCAGTGTATTTTTATCAGATTTGAACCGTTTATGCAAACATCATCAATTGAAATGCTGTCATTCAGTAAGTACAATGAATTTACGATTAATTAATAATTATAATGATACAACTACTATTGTTGTTACTGCTGCTCCTCTTCCTAATTTTCCTACTTCTGTTGATCATTCAGTCATTTGTTCATCATAAACATTGCCAACTTTATAAACTTATGCCAAAACTATTTAACATCTATGTCTTGTCAAACAATGAAAATTAACCAAATACAAATTCATATATTTCGCTATGGAACAAATGAAATCGTTTTAATTCCAGACAAAATGTAGTAACCTAATGTATGCATTCATTTCTACAATGAAATATGCTTCAAATTTATTCTCCATTCATACAAACAATTAAATATTCATTATCATTTTAAAGGCTAATTCACTAGCTTATTCGCTGTCTATTTTTGATTACAATTTATTTCTCGATTCACATACCAAATGGCGAGCTTGATTATTGAAAACCTTTGCATTTGCATATATATGTACGAGTAAGATAACTTGTGTTGTGTTCTAACAGACTCATTGACAAGTATACTGTTAAAATAGAGGGCTGTTACTTTAGGCACTTGAATATGTTTTCCAATGAATTACAAATTTCTGTTCAGTGAACAACTACGCTTTATGCGTGCTATGTTTTACAACTACCAAAGTAATTGGTACCTAGCATACCTATGAGGGCGAAATAATTTTCTCATTTCAGTTAAAACCTTAATTTGAAGGTGCTTTCCTCTTTTTGTAGCATCGCTGAAACCTTAAATTACTTCAATCCAGTATTTTTTTGTCAACAATACTTTGACTGGCTACAGCCCATCTATTATTATATTATTTGTCCCTTGGATTCGTAGTCGAACGTACGGCTTCAGTAGAACGTCTCCATTCAACTCTCTTCTCTGCAATCGTCTGAACCTAGCTCCACGACTTCCCACAAGCTCTCATTTCTTCCTCACACGATCTCCTTCATGTCACCCTCGGCTGCAACGCTCAACTCGTTTCCCATGAGGGTTCCACTAGTGGGGCTGGTCTGGCCGGAGATGTCTCCTAATGGTCTTCTCAGTGTATGCCCAATCTATCTCCACTTTCTTCTGCATATTTGTTAAGCGATGGGTTCTTGGTAGGTTCGTTGCCAGGCCAGAGTTCCTGCTTGCTTATTCTTTCTGGCTATCTGAGCCTCAATAACGAGCCAGCTTAGGCAGTTGTTGATGAATATCTTTAGTTTGTTGGAAATGCCTTTCCTTACGCACCAAGTTTCTGAACCATCACATGTAAGCACTGACTTGACTGACACTGGTGTTGAAAATCCGGATCTAGTTTACGTTTTATGCTGAGTGCAATGCAGTAGATATCCACACTGGTTTCAGGTTAATGCTGGGCTGTCTTGTTTTTCCGATCCTGGCTTTGAAGTCCTCATCTGTGCCGCCACCTGTGGTTGAAACGATGCTGCCTAGATAGATGAAAGAGGCTACTTTCTTTAGGTTTTTTCCCGTTGATGGTGATTGGAGCTTGTTGTTGTTGTTGGCGTTGGTTAAGTATTTTAATTATCTCAGCCCATCTAATAATTCGAAATTGGTTTCATAATCTAGGCATCCAGTTATCTCCATAAAGCGCGTTCACAAAATATTTGTATAGCTGCCCGTTTATGCAATGCAGTTTGACCACAAAACTTTGAAACTATGTGTTACTTTCTTGTTAAAGACATAGGTTTTCAGATTCTCACTATCCAAAGGTCTACAGAACAAGGGTTCTGCCCTTTCTTTTATAAAGGAAAACATCCTCAAGTGGTTCCTGAAGAACTGTAGTCTGCATCCTTGTTGACCTATTCGAAAGATCGTTTGACATATCTTTGTAATTTCCAAAACTTGGTCAAAGGTATTCAGCAGTGCAACACATGGTGCTTACCAATAAGGACTATTGAATTTATTTTTAGGAAAATAATTTTACAACATATTTTCGTCAATTTACATTTGTTCATACCATTTAGCTACTTGCTTAATTAGTGACCATGTGCGTAATGTACATTTCACCAAATAATATTGAAATTGAGGCTTTAACTGCTTCCGTTAAACAAGTAGCTCACAGTGTTCCTGATTAAAGTATATGTAAAAAGGCGAGAGTGGGAATGAAAAAGGGTTTCTTTGAATCAACAAGGGTTTATACGCTAGATTCCGATAAAGGTCAAACACATGTACACCTAATGTCTGTCTTCATATGTAATTGGACCCACTTTTCCACACAAAATGTTTACTCTAGCAGCGTACTGAACATATAATAATCGTGGTCCTTTCTACTATCACATATGTTTTTGCTTCATCTATAGCTCGAGCAAGCTTTACTGTTATTCATCCTCATGGCATATCATAATTTTATTTCAAAATACAGTTTATGAACCACGAAAATGCTACTTAAAGTAACACTGTGAATACGGTGTGCGGTTAGTCCACATTTTGACACCTTTTTATATAAATCTGCCTCACATCTCTTTAACAGCCGTATGTGCTCAAAACAATGTTATTTATCTTAGAAGCAAAGAGCTATTATTGTCAACCAACTAAGAAATGTAACAGACCTGCTTGGTACTAGCATTTAGGAGGCATCCATTTTGAACGCTTACTGGAACCTCTGCACCAAGTGTCTGTCATTTCTCAGCTGCTCACATGTACGTTAGAGAAACGACATGTCAGATACGTAAAGGAAGTAAGAAATAAACCAGTGAAATAAAGAGTTCTTGGAAATAAAGCAGTCGAGGAGACGTCATTTTGCTATTCTGTTGAAACCGACACTTCATCTTCTGCTTGAATTATTTATTACTAAGTTTAAAATGCCAAACAGTATTGGGATTTTTAAAAAATTTTCAACTTCGTATCTTTTTTCAAACAGTTCTTCCTGTAACAGTTTACATCAATTTTACATCCATGAAAGTCTTTCGATGGTTACCAAACAAAAGTCGAACTGTCTGCGGTTAGTAACATTTCACCAAGAAAGGTTTTATAGTCGTTATCAAGGTTCGAAAATGCATTTATTTAATTCTGTAAACAAGATTAGTCTTATGACATTAGGTCTCTAAGCTAAATAGAAAATACAAACATGCGTCAGTAAAATAGATGTAGTTCCACTTCGATAAAATACTTTTAATGAATAAAAAAATTTCTCTCTTTGGTCAACTCTTCTAATATTCTTTATAAGCTTGCATTTTTCGTATGAAGTGAAGATACTTTTTATTATGGCATGAATGTCACTTTTATCAATATATTTCACTGGGAAAAATGCATTCGAAAATAAAAAAGGTAAAAAGTGGTTAGTATCCAATTAGTCAGTGATTCAAAACGCATAAAGCGCATTTGTTAACTTTAGAACACAGTTGCAAACGTTCCTAAGAAATAACTTTTGCCAGCAGGAAGTGTCTTCAACCAATATTAACTTACTTGACCTAGTTAATTGGACTATATTCATTGATTACCAAGCTACTGATTTGGATTGTTATATGGTTTATTTGATTTATTGATAAATCATTAGCAAAAAGATTATCCTTCAGTACTAGTTTTAACCCCCATGTATTAAGGATAACAGCAGGATAAAGAAATAAAATGAGAAAAATAACCAATCTATTTAGATGCTTTTAAAATAAGGAAGAGATATAATTGTTAGCAAGAATTAGAAGGTAGGCAAGCAATTTTTAAGTATGAAATGCCTTCTTTCTTCAGAATATCACATTTTAATTAGCAACACGTTTACTTCTATACTTGTCTTCCTGATGTGTTCATTACTTTTTTAAGGCGACGGGAAATGGTATCAAGACCTGTTAGATGTACTTATAAATATACGTTGTAACCAAAATAGTAACTGAGTGACCAATTGAGACATGGAACTCAAAACCGGGATATTTCATGCTGTATGACCGGTTTGATCAGCTTGCACTAGTAAAATTGCAGTCAGTCAACAGCTTGCTTATTCACGTCTACGATACACTAAAAATATCTACTGTTTATAACAGGTTCTTCGGTTATACACTAGCAAGTAGTATGACTTAACAACTGAACACAATTTTCAGCAAGTAGAAGTGATCACTGCTTCAACATGTCCAGTGAATTCAAAACTTAAAATTTTAGTTCGTATACACAGAACAAAAACGTGTCATCTCAAGTGATGAAAAGTGTTAAGAAAACATCGTCAGCTTAACTTGGAAGTTATTTACTTCTATTTTTAATTCATCTGAACAACTACAGGTACCATAACTTTTATGTTGATTTAAAGCAGTTTTTAAATAGATTTTAGAAAAAAATATAGCCAAGTTCAACTTGGCTAGAATGAAGATATTCGGGTGAGAAGATATTGTATGTGTACAGGAAACAGCCGAGTGGTGTGACACACATGTATACATCCATCGAATTTTAATAACCAAGTAAAGGAAGTGGTAACTGATTCAAGAAAAAAACCTTCAGCCTACAAATATATAAAACGGTACTATGATTAACACTTTGACAAGTGTTTATTTCTAATTCAATTCCTGCCTCATAACCCAGTTTATATGAAGAGAAATTCATCTGGTACTAATCAAACATCTTTGTTTCTACATGGATTTGCGTTGATTTGTTCTCAATACCTAATATACTAATGCAGACTGAGAGTTGTTACTACAGTCGTTTTGAGTACTTACCACGGGTAGTTCATATGTAGTCAGTGGTAGTCACTGGTAACCTTGCACTTTATAAACAGTACACTCAGACAGAAATAACGAAAAAAAGTTTATGTATATATATGTACGATCAATGGGATCGAACCAGCATGTAAAGAAAAGAAACACTAACAAATATTCAATAACAACCTCAAATTATTTATTTAAAGATGCTTTTACTACTCGGCTAATATTTAGATCATATTTGAGCTAATCTCTTTTTAAGTTGCTCGCGGCATTGTATAATCTACATATGGTAAAGAATATTTGTAGCTCAGGTGGATGATCTTGGTTGTGTTGTTTTCTCTGAGCTAAGCAGTTTATTCGTGAAGCTTTCATTGTCTTTGTAGACAACACTATCAGCACTAACTTCAACATCATACTGATATTAGTGATGTTGATGTTGTCTACAAACACAATGAAAGCTTCATGATTAAACCGCTTAGCTCCGAGAATACAACGTAACCAAAATTATTTACATATATTTCAAGACTGCAGAACTGTCATGTTGTTCTGTTGAATGTATTTTTTTTTATTACTCATCAAAGTATTTTTATTAGCTGCATTTTTTGTAAAAGTGTGCTGATGAAGAAACAAGTCAAACTGTAGTGTTTTCCAAAAGTGTTAGGCCTTTACTTTATTATTCTTTTTACTTGGGCAATGGCAAAAATAGTTTACACAGAATGCTGCGAAATTTTTCGGCGATACATTCAACGACATGTATATTTCTCTATTTGTACTAATCATTCATTACTATGAAGCCATCAGGTGACGACAATAATTCTTTAGTGATGGTGTACTCTGACATTTCCTTTGTTT